AGAAAAACATCATTAGCACCCCAAAGGGCTCCCCACCCCCTACCCCACTCCCTTCTAGTCACTTCCTTCCTAAGGCTAACTACTGTCTGGACTTCTAGTACAGTTATTTTGGTTTTGAACTTTATATAAATAAAATAACACAGTATATACATTCTTTAGTGTCTGACTTCTTTTGTTCAACATTCTATTTGTGAGACTTGTCCATAGTGTTGTGTGTTCCTGTAACTTATTCATTCTGATTGGGCAAGTATATCACAACATATTTACTCACCCTATTGTTTACAGGCATTTGGGTAGTTCCTATTTTGAGGCTATTATAAATAGTGTTGTTGTAATATTCTTGTATGTGTCTTTGGGCGCACATATATTCTTTCCTATTGGGTGTATACTCAGGAGTAGAGTTTTCGGATCACAGGGGAAGCCCAAGCTCAGTTGTAGTGGATACTGTTAAGCAGTTTTTCCAAAGTGGTTCAATTTGTACACATCCTATCAGCACCACGTGAGCCTTCTGGTTTCTCGACATTTGGCTAACACTTGGTATTTTTCCTTTTTCATTTTGGCCATTCTCATGAATGTATAGAGGTATTGCATCATGATTTCATTTGCATTTACCTGGCAATCTGATGATTAGGGAAGTTGAGCACCTTTTTCTATGTTTATTGGTCAATATGTTTATTGGGTATCTTTTTTTTATGAAGGGTCCCTTCAAGTCTTTTGCTCATTTTTCTATTTGAATATTTGCTTAATTCTTATTGATTTGTAGTTCTTTTTGTATTGTGGATACAAGTCCATTGTTGGGTATATGTATGCAAATATTTTCTCTTATTCTGTTGCTAATATTTTTTGTTGTTGTTGCTAGTCTTTTCACTCAGTAGTTTCATTTGATGAACAGAAGTTTTTCATTTTAATATAGTGGATCACATGAATTTTCAGAATAATATAGTCAACAGTAGTTAATTACCTGCTTACTATGTCCTCATATATCTTGCTCATTTAATTTTCACATTAACATATTTTAAATAAAAACAATGAAGCTGAAAGAAGTTGAGAAACTTTCCCAAGTTGGGAAACAGCAGAGGCCAGATTCATTCAAAAGCTCTTCACATTCCAGAGCCTTTGCTCTCTGACCTCTGTTACAGTACAAAGGGTACCAACTAATAGCCCCTGGTCATTGTCCAGTCCTTGAATATTCTTTCTTTGGCTTGCACATTTGTATTTCAGCCAAATTAGTGGCCATCACTGAAAAATTGGGAGAAATACAGATTTCTAAATTTTCTTGAAAAATTGTGGGATCTGGCAATATTTGTCCCATTTCTCCATGTGTCACCCTGGGCTGCTGGAGCTGAGTAGTTACTGCTCCACAAAGATGGACCTGAGCTCTTCATTCCTCCACTGGAGAATGGTTTGTCACGCTTGGCCTTCCTCAGTCACTTTGTTTCCCACCTGGCTCCTGGCTGTAGATTTCCCTTTGCTCCTTGGTGTATTGTATCCTCCCTTCTTCATTTTCCCCTTCCCATACTTCTCCACCATTGCCACCCCAGCTGAATTAGAGTCTTCCTTTCTACCTTTGGTTTTCAAAAGTTTGATTATGATGTGTTTAGGTATGTGGGTTTTATTTTTGTTTTTGTATTAATATTGCTTAGGGTTCTCTGGAGTTCTTGGATCTGTGTTTTAATAATTTCAATTAATTTTGGAAAATGTTCAGCTATGATCCATTCAAATATTTCTTCACTCCTGTTTCTCTTTATTCTTCTGGGACTTCAATTACATATATGACAGATGCTTTGATATTGTCCTACAGCTGTTGATTGCTAGATATTTTTCTTTTTTTACTCTTTTTTTCTCTTTGTGTCTTAGTTTGGATATTATTTATTGACTTACATTCAAGTGTATTGAGTCTTTGGCTGTGTTTAGTCTCTTGTTAAAGCACTTTAATTTAGATATTTTCATATCTGACATCATTTGTTGTTTATTTTCTAGCATTTTAATTTACATTTTTGCATTTCTGTCTCTCTGGAAATTCCCAGTTTTCTCACACATGTTGTTCATCTTTTGCACGAAATTCTTCCTTAACATGTTAACTTTAATTATTTTAAAGTCTCTGATAATTTTGGCATCTAGATCAACTTTAGTTTTGTTGCTTTCCTTATTTCTTGACAATAAATATGGATTTATTATTTTTTATGTGTCTCGATTTTTTTATTTTACACTGTGATCAAGTGGGATTTATTTCTGGGATGCAAGGATGGTTCCACATTCACAAATCAATCCATGTGAGACACCACATTAACAAAATGAAAGATGAAAATCATATAATTATCTTGATAGTTGCAGAAAAAGCAACTATTGACAAAATTCAACATCTATTTATGTTAAAAACTTTCAGCAAAGTGGGTACAGAGGGAATGTACCTCAACACAACAAAAGCCATACACAACAAGCGCATTGCAAATATCACACACAACAGTGAAAATCTTAAAGCATTTCCTCTAAGAACAGAAATAAGACAAAGATGCCCACTCCTGCCACTTCCATTCATCACAGTACAAAAGCCCCAACAAGAGTAATTAGGAAAGAAAAAGAAATAAAGGTATGCAAACCAGGAAGAAAGAAACAAAATAGCCTCTATTTACAGATGACATCATATTAGATACAGAAAACTCCAAACAGTCCGTCAAAAAGTGATTGGCACTAATAAATTTAGCAAAGTTGCATGATACAAAATCAATTTACAAAAATCTATTGCATTTTTGTACACTAACAATGAACTATCTGAAAATGAAATAAAGAAAATGATCTCATGTAAAATTGCATCAAAAATAATAAAATACATAGGAATAAATTTAACCAAGGAAGTGAAAGATCTTTACACTGAAGACTAAAATATTGATGAAAGAAATTGATGGACACACAAATAAATGGAAAAACATTCTATGCTCATGAATTAGAAGTATTAATACTGCTAAAATGTCCCTGCTACCCAAAGTGATCTCCAAATTCAATATAATCCCCATCAAAATTCCAGTGATATTTCTCTCAAAAGTCTAACAAACAACCCTAAAATTTGTATGGAAAACAAAAGACCCAAAATAGCTAAAGCAATACTGAAAAAGAAGAACAAATCTAAAGGCATCATACTTTCTGATTTCAAACTATAGTACAAGACAGTATGGTAGGTAAATCAATGGAACAAAAAAGAGCCCCAAAATAAACCCATTCATGATGATCAATTAATTTACAGCAAAGGATCCAAGAATATACATGGGGGAGTGTCTTAATATTTTTAATTGAATTCTGGACATTGCACATGAAAGGGCAGTAGAAACTGAGGTAAATGGTGTTTACCCCTGCAAATGTGCTTAGGTCTCTTCTGTCAGGCTGTTAGTGAGGGGAGTGGAGTCAGTGCAGTTGGAGGATGAGCTGGGCCTGGATCTTGTCATTGCTGGAGTCACCTTCATGGTACTACAGATTTCAAGTCCCTTCAGCAATGGGATGCTATCCCCACATGCTTTGGAGAATTTTTTCTCATTGTTCCTTTTCTACCCTTGAGCTCTCAGCCTCCTTTGTCACAGAGGGATCTCCCTTCTGCCCCTCCCCTAGCAGCAAACTTGGTGCTTAAGGCTTTTGATTTGAATAGGAGAAGGCCCTGGGAGATGGGTGGGCTTTCATGGCTTGTGGAACTAAAGGAGGTCTCTCCATTTTCCTACCTTGCCCATTGTCTTCCTCATAAGTACCATGTGGTGGTCATCAGGTAAGATCTTATGAATGAGTGCAGACTCTTCTTGTGTCTGCAGCTCCCACCTATTCTAATCTGTAATGCTAACCTACTCTCAGCCTTCCAGAATAAAAAAAAATTCTGTTTCTTCTTACTCACTCTTATGGTAACTATTTTTTCCTCCCTTGTGTCAAATGTGAAACTGTGTATTTGACCATCTTTCTTTGGAGGGGTTTCTCTCTCTTACTTTAAAATTTGGTTCATCTGGTTCCCTCACAACCTCCATTCTCTAATGGGTTCAAGAAACTTTTTGATTTCACAGATTATCCAGATTTCTTTCGTTGTTAGGATAGAAGTTACATTTTCTTATAATTGTCTATATCCTAACTGGGAGCAGCACCTCTGGTAGTGGATAAAGAATTTGTTCAATGGTCTCTTCATTCTTAGTGGTTTATCCAAGAGTGGGCTGAGTTCCTGTGTCCCTTCTGGATTTATGTCAGAGGCTCTTGCAAAATAAGACACACTGCTTCTCTGTGGATTGTATTTTATTCATCAGGTGTCCATAACCAATATTTACTTAAGGGAAAAACCCTTTTTAGAGGCTTAATGTGGTACTTTACTAACTTTATGAGCTGGGGATAAAAAAGATATGACTTGGTAAATTTTCTTTTTAAAATGAATAATTTTTTTAAAAAATTATAAAAGTAATTAATCAACAAAGCAGGGAGTTAAAAATACAGAAAGATACAAGAAAACCCACAAAAAATGAAAACCACCTATAATTTCATTAGCTAAAAACATTACTACTATATTATCAAATTTATTCTAGTCATTTTTCTTTGGGTATGTTTTATGTTAGTTTATCTATGTGCATATTCATTCTCAAATATATAACTTTGTGTTTTGTTTAAATAAGCTAGTTCCAAAAGGTGTGCTTTTTTCCTGTGGGTTAAGTAGTATGGCACTTATGAAATGATGATGTGTTACTCATGTTTGTCTGGTGAAGATGCCAAAATTTATGGAATATTTTTAGTTTGTTGTTAGCGCTGGATTCCTTCTCATAGCTATTCCACATGAACAGCAGGGACAGGTGTGTATATGTTATTCCAATGGAATGTAATTCATTTCAGAAAAGACTGGCTGTTGATTCCTTGTGCTGAGGTCCCCCTTTCCTCATGTAACTTCCATTCCTTTTTATTTATGCTGGCTCATTGTCAAGTTCAGAACCAACAGAAATGAGGAAAGTATATAATGTTCTTAATATGTCTTCTACTTTCTTTTCCAGAAAGTATTTTGGAGAAAAAATTGGACTGTATTTTGCTTGGCTGGGATTATATACATCATTCCTCATCCCATCTTCTGTAATTGGGGTGATTGTGTTTCTTTATGGATGTGCAACCATTGAAGAAGATATTCCCAGGTAAGACAATTCGAAAGAAAAAGGCTCAATTCCCATGTTAGTAGTTCGAAGTTTCATCTTAGTTGCAAGTACATCTCCTTCCAAAGTCCTCATCCCTATCCTTCTTCCCTACCATACATGTAACTTGTCTCCAGAGACAGAACTGGGAGCTACAGATTCTTGAAATGGCTTTATAACCATTCTGGGCATGGCCCACTTTCTTTCCTAGTCAAGCTCTTCCCCATTGCCAGTGTCTGATGTAGGCAGGTGGATAATGCCTGATGAAAAAATTGTGCCTGAGAAATGCTTTTTGTTCCTTAACGTCATGACTCCCCCCGCCCCCCGCCCCGGTTTTCCACATAATCCAAGGCAGGAAGTATTGAATGGTATTGGGTACAGATCACATGTCTATTGGTCAAACACTGTTGGTATAAAATGCTGTGAGGCTATCTGTAGAAGCAGGCAGCTCTGGAGCCGAGTAAGGCTCTGCCTCTAGTTCAGGAGTCAGAAACCACAGGAAGTGACAGTTCCCATGGTGGGGCTCTTGGAGAACCAAGACATGGAACAAAGCCTGGTCCTTACAGGGAAGACAGAGAAAGTAAGCACTTAAAAATAGTTGTTTGCTTTCTTTGTCCTCTAGCATAGGGAATAATTAATACTTACCAAATACCTACCTTGTGTCAGATGTGGTGCTAGGTGGTTTTATGTACTGGTTTCTTTGATGCTGTAGAGCATCAAAAATTGTAACTCTATATAAATGAGTTATTATTTTCATCTAACAGAGATGGAGAAATTGATGATAAGCGAAGTTGCATAGTTTGTCCAACTTCAACAATTCATTGTCAGGGTTGAGATTTGACCTCTGTTGCCTCCTGCTGCTCTCTAGAGTCTTTGCTTTCTCCAATAAGCTGTGAAGTCTTGCAGAGGGCTTATATCCTTCTCAGCAGTCCAGTAGCTTCAACTGGCCTTGTTTGATGTATTCTCAGAAGACACAGCTCCCATGTTTTCTTTGCCCAGTTGTGATCCCTAGAGAGGTGGCCCTCACCTTTATCAAAACTGGACATCTCCATACCATGCTTAAAGAACCAATGACAGTGTAGTGGGTGGGTCATCAGTGTGCTGATTTATATGGGGACTTAGAACTCGTGCCCATATGAAAATACACGACAGTGACCACTGCAATTGAAAATGATTATGGTCTACATGTTGTTGAAAGCTTGGTTTTTCTTGCCAATGCAGTAAAGAATTACAGATCAGCAAGTCAAGTAGTATGCAAGCAGAGTTTATTTGTATGTTCCCAAGGAAAAGAACAGGCCTTGCTGAGGGTGGCAAGAGAGGCATAGGTGCCTTGTCCTGTGGACTTATATAATTTGCAGACTGGGATGAGGATTAGTATGATGTTAGAGAATGGGAGTTACATATTGATTGGCAGATAATGATGGTGCTGACCATGCATGCTTTCCCATGGAAGATGTGACTATCTAATCATAGGCATGGGTAGGGGTATGTTCCCAGGGTTCTTATCTCCTGCTGCAGACAACATCTGGTCATCTGTTGTGAAACAGCTATGTGACCAGAGGTAGTTGGTCAAAATTATTTTGGCCTGCTTTTCTGTTAAGAGCAATGGACACCCTCCTACCTTTTCTTCTCTTTCCTAATTTTCTAACTCCTACTTATTATATACATGCTGCAAAGACATATATCTATGCACATGCACATACACATAGAGTGTAGATGTACAGGCATGTAAAATGTGATTATTATAATTGCAGATGTATTATAGTGCCTGTTACAGTGTGTGATGCTTTAAAGACTATGGGTAGCAACCCATTTGTGCATTACAGAATAAATTTAATGACTGTATTTTTATTGTATTTTTTCTACTACTATTTATCCCCCTTATACCTGCCCCTGCAATCCCCACACTGTTGTTCATGTCCATGAGTGCTTTTCCCTTTTTCCTAGATCCCTCCACCCCCTAACCACCTCCAGAACTGTCAACCTGCTCTCTATCTATAAGTCTGTCTCTATTTTGCTTGTTAGTTCAGTAAATAAACTAGAATAAGATAGGGGAGAATAGAGTGAAACATAATATTAGTATTCATCACAAGAAGGAAGTAAGGAAGTGTAAGTATTGTTGCATGAGATTTTAATTAGATATATGGTGTGTTTATGGCAAGATGCAAAGATAGTGCTGAGTGGTACAATGTATCCTTCACCCAGTTTCCACCAGTGGTCATGTCTTATATATCTACAGTACAATATCAAAACCAGAAAATTTACATTATGTGGAACTTTAAATGATACCTTTTATTGTCAATAACTTTGATATGTGAGATACAAGTATCATTTGTAAGTAATAATTCCATATGTGCAGGATACATCTATAGAACTTTCCTTTGCTTACCAAGGGATTGGTTCCATTTGTTAGGCGTTTGCTTACATGGGTAGGGAAGACTGGAGCAGTTTTAAAAAGCTGATTAATCTAAACCATATTGAAAAAAATTGGTTACTTTAGGTCTGCACCGTAGTAACAGATGTTCTGTCTGAGTTTCCTGAATAATTGCCTCCTTGCACCTTCTCTCTTTCAGCTAGCACAGCACTGTACCTCCTAACGTGTGAGCGGTGAGCCACTCATTGAGAACACCACTCACTCTGGATTTTTATCAACATATGCTTTCTAGGGAAAATGACAGATTGAAGAAATGCACGATTAGATTTAGAGCCACAGTTACTTCTAACTAGAAACCTGTGGATTATGTAGTTAGTGAACAATCTAGATATGGTTTCAGTTCTAGGTACACTGCCCTCATCTCCCAGCTTGTCTAGAGTTAGCCTTTCTCAGACAACACAAAGCCATTTTAATGCCATCCCGAGGCAGAATTTCTTCAGAATTCTGTTCACATTGCTTGCATTGAAAAAATAAAACCAAAGCCAAAGCCAAAACCAAAACAACCCAACTCAATGCATACAAAGCATTCTGACTTCCAATTTAAGTGATTGGAGAGTATCCATGCTACAGGGCTGCCGTTTTGTGCAAATGATTGATACTTGACTGTACTCTAATTTTAAAACCAGTGATTTACATAGAAGTTAAGTTTCAAAATGCTTTGCACCAAGTTGGTTGCTAATACTTTTTTTTGTTCCTGACTGTTTAGCACTGACTCGATTCGATTAGGCATAGGCTGACTAGGATTATCCCTCCCCCAAGTGTTTGTGTAAAAAATCACCTGAACAGCAAAGACCCTGCCACACATGTTTGGGCAGCGCTGAGAACTCAGACGTCCTCACATGGCTGAAAAGCACAGCGCTCTATTAGAATTTATACAGACCAACAATGTTCTGTGTGAATTTGTTTTCCAAGAGGGTTCTCTCCTCTCTGATTGTCACAACTGCTTCTCAACTATGTAGTGAATGCTTATCTGGCCCAGAAGACTTAAAATAAACCTCACTCTCCAGTGAACAATAAGAATGTGCCCAGGTGAAGCTAGCACGGCAGAACTGATTAATAAGATATTACTGTTTAATATTGTCGATGTGAATGAGTCACTGCTATTGACACTTGCCAATGGAGAGCTGAGCAGCAAGTCAGTGAAGGAACTAAGCTTTATCCTCTGAGACCTGGAGTTTCCATTCTCTCACACAGAAGGCCTCTCCCTGCTGAGGACTTAATAGCTCATTAAAAACAAGCCCGAAAGCTGGGGCTTGACAGGCAGTGACAGCCTTCAGTAAAACCGTTCTGCGTCTTAATGAAGGAAAAGTAGATCCAGGCATCCCTTTGACTTCTGGGTAAAATCTAAGCCCTTGTTTAGCACCAGTTTACCTAGTGGCCTCCTACTTGCCAGCTGTGCTCTATAGCACCCTCTGCTGCCTCTTTTCAGGGAAAACACAGCTGCGGTTTTTAGGGTGGGATTCCCTGAACTCCATCCCTGTGTCTTTAGCTGCTCTGCAAGAACAGCCAATGCTTCATTTTCATGAAAACTCAAGTTCTCCACCCTTTTCCTCAAAATCATGAGCTTAACTGGTTATCCATTCTCCTGGAGGAATATGACACCAGAGTGATAAGTTCATGCATTTCCCCATCAATATATGATGTGGATAGATATTGGGAGGCCAGTGGGGCTGGTAGTTCCTTGGTTCTTATTTACAAACACTCATATGAGCCTGAGTTTATTGGCTCCAGCTAATCGCCTAATGAATGAATGGAATTTCAAATATATTCATCAAACGATTAAATAGAAAAATACTGAGAATTGGTTAGAATATTGGTGATGGCTATGTGACTCATGCTCCTCTCTCGAAGACCGCAGAATCTAGACTTTGGAAGAATGTACTTTATTTTTCTCATTTTCCCTAATCCCATTTCATGATCATGATAATTCTTGTTAGGCAGAGGCTATTAATCCCCATTCTACAAGTGGTCTTGCAGCTGATGCACTTAGAAAAGGCCTCCCAATCTGTATCTGACTTCATTCTTCATCACATGGTTTCTTCTTCCAGCAGTAAGCTTGTGTTTATTTCTCCTAGTGACCAGTCTCACACATTTGTGTGAGTCTCACACATTTGTGAGATAGGCCATAGGCTTAAGAAGACAGCCTATGCTTGAATGATGATGATGAAATCTAACTTCAGGTGGGCGATTTAGTCCCAATTGTTGGTGCTTCCAACCAACCTCGTACACTCCACACATTTTGAAGGGGCTTTATAAGGCATCACTCAGTGTGCAGCATCTTAGACAGATGGCCACTTGCTTTCTGTTGAGACACTTCTAGTGACACGGGGCTCTATACCTCAAAGGTGGTTCATCCATTTTTATTTTGGACAAAATACAAGAATAACACTTTCAAGGTAAAAAATCCAATTCCACCATCGTTAACACACCTCATGTATGGAGCTGATAAGCTCAGCCATGGATTCAGAAGTGGGAGATTCTTTGGTGGTGATTTGTTTGGGGTGGGTCCTGCGTGAGCTCCTGACCGAGTAGCTTCTGTCTACCGCAGCAAAGAGATGTGTGACCAGCAGAATGCCTTCACCATGTGTCCCCTGTGTGACAAGTCCTGTGATTACTGGAACCTCAGCTCAGCCTGTGGTACGGCGCGGGCCAGCCACCTGTTTGATAACCCTGCCACTGTCTTCTTCTCCATCTTCATGGCACTGTGGGGTAAGTGGTTGACATGAGGTTTGCTTATAGGAGTGGTACCTTGAAATGGGTACAGTGACTGTACTCTAGTGGCTCTATCCTTCCGTTTACTTCCTTTAGCATTTAGTCCTTGTATCTTGAGAAGTATTTAAGGGACAATAGATTTATCTCCTTTACTCATATATGCCAATAGAATTAGGAATATTCTCATGGATATGTGTGTGTGTGTGTGTATTTGTATGAATGACATAGTGTTATTAACTTTGTACTAGTATTTGAGCCAATAGGTATTTTGAAAACCCCCAGTCTACTTCTGAGGCACTTCCAGGAACATCTACTAAGACATGTAAACTCATAGATATCAACCAAAATAACACTCAGAAGGGTGGGATCATGGCCATGGTCATAGAGTTATCTGGTGATAAAGGTGGGACTAAACTTGGTCTCCTGACTTGAGGTCCAGTGTAATTTCTAGGATACCAATAGTGGAGACCCAAGGTGGCATACAAGGCCCGTGGGCCAAATTCAGCTCTTCACCTTATTTCATCTGGCCCGGCACCTTGTTTCTACCCGGCAGCAACAATGAGCTCTCACTTAACTGTTAAGGAGTAGTTACATTTATATAGTCCTAAAATTATATTCAGCCCTTTGAAGGCAACCATGAGGCTGATGATGTGGCCCTGGTAAAAAAAAAGTAAGTTTGACACCCCTGGTGTAGACTGTAGAGATTTTACTTAATAGCACAGTAGTGTTTTCAATGTTTTCAACAAAGGGGTTTGTGAAGCAAAGAACAAATAGTTCCTTCACTGCCCTTCTCCTCCTTTCTTTTCCCGCCTCTCCACCACCCTGAGTATCAGGATAATAAACCTTCTCTGGGCCATAGCCATCTGACCACACACACACACACACACACACACACACACACACTTCTATTTTCACAAACTAGGATAACCTACAATAACAACCTTGTGGTAACTGAACATTTCCAAGAAGACACACCCATGTGTATTTAAAAAAGGGACAAACTCAACATGTTTCATCCCATCTTGAATAGCCACCTGCGTTTTACTCATCATGGATGGGCAAGTCCTTAGATTTCCTGTTGGACTGCAGACCAGCAGGGCCATGATCCTGCTGAAGAGGCTGCTTGATTTATCGCTGACTCCGTGGGTCCAGAGGACCTGCCAGGAGGGGGCTGTGAGTCACACCCCTGAAAGTGTGAGGGGGAGGAAGGGAGAGGTTTGTTCTCAACAGTGCTGGGAGAACTGAACAGACCACCCTCCATTCCCTGTAGGAACCTCTACTTGGGTGGAGATAGAATCAGATTGGAAAGATGCCTGTGTTCCTAGGCCACCAAGGACAATTTCCAGGGACACTCTGCTCTCAAGGAAAACAGCTGCTGCCCAGGGTACACAGATAGTGGTCAGCTCATAAGAGTGGTGACAGGGAGTAGGAGGAAATGGCACTTGTGACCATATAGCTCTGGAAATGTTTACAGGAAGGGTGAGTAGGACAAACTGAAGTTGAAGTTTGTTACCTAGGAAGTCAGAGGCAGCTCTGTCTTCTCATCAAACAAGGGCATCTTGTAATTACTCCAAAATCTACCTACTTGAACTGATTTGGAACTTAGAATATGCTTTCATTTTTTGATGTTTTGCAATCCTAATACCATTAACTTGTCTTGCAGATATTATGATGATCAGATAGCTGAAGCTTAATAACATTGGGTCCGTGATCCCTTAAGAACTTTGACGGGCTGCATAATTCCTGGTTGTAGAGAAACTTGGTTTTCAATTTTACTTGCCCACTTTCAAGCCTTAACAACTGCCTCTTCTTTCTCAACAGCTATAATGAACAGATACCTCCCACCCTTTCTGAGGTCCTCAATAATTTACTACCCCCACCCCTGGCTCCTCTGTCTTTCTCTCACATAGCAGTGTCGGGAAAACAAAAGGGTGAGATTGTGTCAGAGCTTCCTGGCAAAAGTTAGAGTTTGGTTTTTATTTTTTTTAATAGCTTTGCTCTGTTTTATGTGATTGTATATTTGGTTACAACAGCCAAGAGCCCCTGGGCATGATTGCCTACATATTACAATTAAAAATAATAGTAATGCCTCTCATTACCATGATTATTATGATCAGTGGTGCTTTGCTGGGTGGGCCTGGGCCATGGCCCATGCCTGCCAGGAATAAGGCTGGGAAGAAGTGGTTCTCCACAGAGAGAGACTCAGGCTATTGTGGAGTGGGAGTGGAGGTTGCCAAGACAGGGATGTGTATGGAGGGTTCTAGTCAGGAAGACCTGGGTCTGTTGGAGTCTTCAGGCCCAACTTCTCTGCTGTTCTGGCCACAAACTCAAGGGAACTTTGAAAAGATAGTGAAACTCTATTGAAAAGAAAAGTACAGGAACAGGGTTTCTAAACTCTTTTTTGACTTAGGGGACTGCCTGATGAGTGTCTCAATCCTGCCCCTTCCAGCTGTGGATCCCATAGCAAGTCAATGTGAATTTAGCACTGTGTCACCAAAGTCAGTACTCTTAACCAAGGTACCATGTAACCTGGGGCACAGTACCTAACCTTTAGAGCACTCATCTCAAATGAGTGAAATGGGGGAATTAATACGTATCCCATAGTATTCTGTAACAAGTGAATGAGATGTGTATGCAAAGCACTTAGCATAGTACCTGGCACTTAATACATGCCAGGAACTGTGAGCAGCTCTTCACCATTATTAGGGACCTCTCTTGTCTTCATGGCTCCTCTTTCAATGAGTCTTTTGCCTGTCTTGTCCATTCCCACAGTCTGACTTCTCTCTTTCATGGACATTGCTGTCAGGAGCACTCTGAGCCTTGCTGTGTGCACAGCCCTCCGCAGGCCCTGAGAAGAGCATGGGAAGAGGAGTGACATCCCCGTCTCATTGCAACCCCCAGGGCAATGCTAGTCTTGGGAGGTCAGGATGCACTTACATGAAAAGGCCTCAAATCCTAGGAGAAAACATATAGATTAGTGCACTCTCATGTTGCACTAAGTAAAACAAATGAAGCTTTAAGTAACTGCATATTTAACCAGTCTATGGTGTTTGTTATATTCAGTTCTGTGCTGTGCCCAAGGTAAGCAGAGGCAGCTAGGAGTCCAGAAAGAGCTTACAGACCTGTTACTACACTACAGGCCTGAATGGCACCCAATAGTACAGTGCAGTGGTTAATGAAGGGCACCCAGGCTCCTATTGGGTATGGTGTAGAGGTGTAGGAGTGGCCTCAGGGAGGGTCATATCCCTTTCCTTTTCAGGGCAGCAGACACTGAAGAAGAGAGGGTGCCCTTGAGCCTGATCTTATGGAAGAAGTAGCACATGAGCTGGTCAGGAAAGATGAGGGTAGGTATTGCCAGGTAGCATAGGAGAGGCGGGCAATTTACACAAGTTGGGAATGAAGAGGAAAGAGGGAGATAGCATTAGGAACAATGCAGCTGTAAAGTGTATGTTGATAAATGGTGGGAATAGACAGATGGGTCTGGCCAGATATACAGGGCCCCAATATACAGAGATAACTTAGGCCATAAGAAGCCATTAAAAGTTTGGGCGAGGGGTAGAATGAGAGGGATGTTGGCATCCTTCCTTTCACCACCCTTCTTCACTGCCTGAATGCTTTTTCTTCAAGACTCAGCTCAGACACCTTCTCTGGCAGCTAGCACTCCCTGTCCTGCATGTACACAGCTTTCTATGTGTCCTTCTCAAAATCTGGTCACTCTGTGCCTTGTATTGCAGTTATTTACAATCTCTCCCCATAGACTGTAAACAACATGAGAGCAAAATCCACATCAGAGTCATCTCATCTCCTTCATGATGCCTAGAACAGTGTTTTGTATTTTACAGATAACTTAGTCGGGCCTAGTGCATTCAAGTTTGTTCAGATAAGACATTTATTGTAAGAAGGCAAGAAGCAAGCTCATGAATGCAGGAAATAGAGCCAGGCTGCTGGGGAACTGGAGCTGGAGTTGCTATCAGAAACCACATCCCTTTCTTTTTCTTTCAGGTGCTGCTTGGTTTCTGCCTTCTCTGTTTCTCTTTGTGTCTCTTGGTTTCAGTTTTCAAAAGGGAGAATCTGGTCCATTGGCAGGCTCTAGATCAGATGTTTAATCCTGGTATTATAAACCATGGCTGGGGAGTAGAGGGTATCCGTATTTCTGGAGCATGTTGGGCTGGCCCTTCAAGGAGCTGTGGTTGGAGCAGGGAAACGGACCAATGGGTAGACATATAGGCATTCAACAATTACTGGCTAAGAAATGGACAAATGAATACATGTCGCTTAAGAGGGATTTGTCTGTCAGCTGCATGCAAGATGGATTGGAAGACTGTGACTCTGGAGTCAGGTAGAACTATTAGGACACTGTTACATAACCTAAGAAGGTGATTATTGGGACCCACAAAAGGGAAATGGTGCTGGGGATGGAAAAGCAAATAGGGGAAAAGTGAGAGTGCTGAGGAAGGTGCAGGAAGAAAGACTATGCACAGGCAAAATGAAGTTTGTCCAAAAAAGACTACAAATTCTTTAATTCTTATTTTATTTATTCTGCCATCCTTTCTTATTTCTTGAGATCAATGTTTACCCTCTTCTCATAACCTAAATGTGGGGAAAGGGGTGTGTGTGTCCCTTTAAATATATCTACTTGGCTTCTAAGGATGTGTAATATTTAGAGCACCTCTAGGTAAAAGCAGAAGGAAATGAATAAATGCTTCAAAGAGAGCTCCTAAATTTGAATTCTGTAAGTTTGTTCTCTACTACCATTGGTGAACCAAAGGGTACTCAAAATCCACTCTTCCAAATTAACAGAATTTTTTCTTTCCTTTTAAGCCACCATGTTTCTTGAAAATTGGAAGAGATTACAGATGCGACTGGGCTACTTCTGGGACCTGACTGGCATAGAAGAGGAAGAAGTGAGTTCTCTTCCATGTGTCTCTGGGTGTTAGCTTTGCTTAGACCCTGCAAATAGGCCATTTTGAGTGAGATAACCACTTATGTGTACTGTCACTAGCCAGTCACTGGTTGGGTCTCACTGTGGCAGCTCTTCTAGCTTGACTGCATGGGCTAAGCCATGGTTGATATGCACTGAGACCAAAAATTCAAGTTTCCTCTCTACTCTTGAGCTGTAAGACACTGGGCCTGGTGGGTAGCCAGATGTCCCAGTGCCCCTCTTTGGGAAAAGAGATGGCACAAGAGGCAAGCCTGGTAGTAGTAGCCTTGAGGTTTCACTCAATATACTTCTATATCCCATGTCATTGATTCTAGTGACCATAAATCCAAAGAATAGCAGTCATTAGAACAGAAAATGTCAGAATGGCTCTATGAGCCTACTGAGGGTCAAGGAAAAGGTATGAATGCCAGATACTGGTTGCCTTTGATGTCTATGGAAGAAGAAAACCACCATACCTTCACAGTGTAAACCAGTACACCATGTGAAGCTGCAGTGTGAGCTAAAGGGTAAAGGGTAGGTTCTTCTAGACTCTAGTTTTATGGACAAATGCTACATGGTTGGGCAAAAGTAGATTTATAGATGTGTGTACACAAAACAGCATTTATTCTTGTATAATTATTTATAAATTATTATTTTCTATACAAGCAACTGTAAACCCACTTTTGCCACACCCTGTATTTAAAGGATGAGAACAAGTCATCCTTCCCTCCAGGCTCTTTTGTGAAGTAGGGTCCTAGTGTTGATGCTGGCCAGTTGACAAGGAGCAGTGTGACATGGTTGCTCACAGTTATCTCTTCCCACATGCAATCATTGACTGAAGAGCAAATGTCAATATCAGATAGGTGCTCCCGATGTTGTGAAGATGTGGATGAGGTACTGGGAACAGCATCTAGAAGGACCAGGAGGCACTTCCAAGTGCCTAAGTACCCCCTTGCCAAGGATGACCACAAACAATATGGCAGCTGCATGGACAACAGGCCTTTTTCTCACTCTCCTATAGTAATCGATGCGCCTTGCCTTGGGCACAGCACCTTTGACTTTGTAGTCCTGATGTTTTTATGGCCAAGCAAGTGGAATCCCCAATTTAGTCTTGTTCTCAAGCCTCTGTGGCTCCCTGTATCTGTAGTGTGGCATAATTTCTTCTCCTTAGTGCTCTAATTAGTCAGCTTGCATTTGAGCATATGGACATGGCAATGTATTGAGTACATATGCTCACTCTATCCAGTCCTTCACGCTAACCATATGTCCTGGGACTAAAAGCATCATGGATTCCATGACAAATGAGAGAATACACATACGGGTCCTGCCTTCAGAGAGGTTGGAGCATTCAGACAAGGCCACACTCTCTGAGAGGTCCCAGGAGCACCTAGGGTCTAGAAGTTAACTGGACAAGGGCAGCCCACTGAGCTGAAGATTGCCCCACTTTAGAGCAAAAGATTCTTGAGGTCTGGCAGTTCTCCCTTCAACAAGCACGTGCAGGACCATGAGAAGTCTTTCAACAAGTCTCTTGGTGGTGGTGTCCAGCTGGTTCCATAGGGAGGCCTCTTGGGCAGGAGCTGCGCTGACCCAGTGGGGTGACTCTGGGGTTTGGTTCTTCCTTGGAGATTGGGTAATGATGGTGGGTTTTAAAAGCACTTGAATAGCATCATCTCCTATTGTATTGATTATATTTATTAGTCACATGCGTGGTTTCTCCTCTCCAACATCATGGCACATCTTGGAAAAGCCAAAGACAGGCCAGAAACCTAGCTTATTGGCTTCCGGAATCTCTGATGGAATTATAATTCCTGCCTAGGAATTACTGGTAAATGATACAGGAACATAAAGTTCTCACACCTGTAGGTATTTGTCCTTGGACAGTGCAGGGAAGACCGGCCAACGAAGCCAGGTGTACACTGTTAAATTCTCTTTGAAGTAAGTCAGGCATCTTCTTGCTCCAGCATCTGCCTTGATTTGACCATGGTCTTGATTAGTTAGGTGTGCTTTCCCATGCCTGGTGACTCACTCACTATTCATGTTTGTATTGCCGAATGGCTTAGTGATGTCTCTTGAGCACTGGTGTACTTGCCAATGAGTTAATCACTTAGGCTGTACAGGAAACAGGTACAGGCAAGTGAGTTTTAAGATTCCCTATGGCCACCTTTAACTTTGATTTTTATTAGTCGCCATTTTAGCTTATAGAATAATGCAGCAGGGAGGAAGTTTTTTTTTGTTGCCCTAACTCCCAGCTGTGGGGCACATCTGTTTCTCCAGCTGAGATCTGGCTCATTGAAACTTTAAGTTTGAGGTCTGCGGATAGCTGGTGGGATGAACAGATGCATCCCTCTGCCTTTAGTCAAACTGCTATGAAAGCATGTGGCTTCTTTTTGTATCAGCTGCCGAGTTAATATTTCTTCTCTCCTTTGTCAACACTGGCGCCATCCCTAGGAACGTGCCCAGGTTTGGTTTTCAGTGTGTTAACCAGTGTTGTGTGTCCTGTCTCTCCCACATTGTGTTCCTGGTCTAGACCCATTGTGATTATATGTGGTGTGGCAATTCATGTCCAATAGAATCTGACCCTAACTCCTGACTTTATTGTACTTGCAGTGTTTGGTTATAACCCACAGACCAAGGTTGCTCTTCTGCCTGTTTACTAACCACTCTTTGACTCTTGGGTTTTAGGAACACTCCCGGCCTGAGTATGAAACCAAAGTTCGAGAAAAAATGCTTAAGCAGAATGACAAGTCGGTTGTTCAGAAACTGGGGACCAACATGACTGAGAGTGAGGATGAGGTAAGATGCTGGTGCTTGTTGTTGACTGTCTTCTTTATGTCTTAAGATCCTGTTGCCAATTCATCTGGAACTCCTTCAGGGACAGAGACTGGGCTGCAAGAAGGGCTTGACAGGGAGAGACAGGGCGGAATGAGAGCATGACATCTCTGATTGTCCTGCAGTCAGAGCTCATGGGTAGTGGGCTTTAGCCATGACTTGATTTATCTCTTTCCTGGGTGGTATCTGGACAATATCGAAGAGCAGCTTGGAGAAGAAAGAAACAGTTGTCAGCCCTGGTCCCTCTGGACTCCATCACCTAAATATCTAACAATAATAACCACTGCCGCCATAGCAACCAGCACAATGACAGCTAACCTTTATCGAATGCTTACTCTAGGCTAGGCACTGTTCTAAGTGCCTTATATTATTTTATTCTCACAAATGTATGAGGCTGGCACTATTGTTATGTAAATGAAAACTAATGAAAAAAATTATTAAGTCATTTGCCACAGATTAAGTCATTTGCCAGAGGTAACTAAGCAAGTGAATGGTGGGTGGATCTGGGATTCCAACCTAGGTCCACTACTGATAGTTTAGATACATAACTCCTTTGCATACTGCCTTTTACGTGCAATGGATAAGGCAAGAAATGGCTCTTAGGGCCAGCAGAGTCAAATTCAGGCCTGTATTTGCTTGAGCTACTCATAGAATGTTCCTTACATTTCATCTCATCTGAGTGGGCCTCCAAAAGTGTGAAAGTAGTGGTGAATATGTCTTCTGAGTCATATTTCTGAGTTTGAGGGTGGCATTCAGACTTTGAAACAGAGCTTCAGAATCTGAGCTGTGATCCGTAAATACTCACAGTGTGTGCGAGTTGGGTATACGATGTGGGGCTCCTCTTGGCAGGGCCTGTCTCCTCCGAGTGCCACCTTTCTTTAAGACTGTGTGTGTGTGTGTTTATGTCTTTCCTAATCTGGTTCCTGAAAAAAACCAACAAGGTTGAAAATCTGTTGTTTTTGCATGTATCTTTTCCCCATCTTGGATGTGAATTCAAATTTTATTTAATTTTACATTCTTTAAGTTGAAACCATTCATGTTAACATGCAAATTTATTCAAGCAACAAAACAGAGGAATGTGTTGTTTTTGAGCCCAGAACACTGGCTTTTTTAAAAAAAAAAGAAAGGAAAGAAAACAGGACTTTGAAGAGAAAAGAGCATGGCCCTTTGAGTTATTTATTTCCTAGACAAAAAGTTAGAGCCAAGACCACCAATTATTTAGGGAAATTAAATAAATTCATTCTTAGGAAAAACTAATCATCACTGCCACCCTCACCCGAAAGCAAGCCTTTGGTGTCCGATCTGCTTCGGCAACTCCACGCAACCTTCTCTTTCCACCCCAGAGCAATATACAGTGGATAGTTTTATGGAGATCACATGTAACTTTTATTGACCACTGACTCATTTAATTTTAATTCCATAGACGGGAATGCTAAGGAGCTGGAATTGCATACAGTGAGGCTGTGGTTCTAATATAAACATTGCTTGGATATATATGCATGATAGGTCAAGTAACTCTCAGGAACCATGAATAATTGAAAAACATCTGAATGCATTATGAATGATACATATGTTTACGTTTTAGCATTCGACATCTATTTGCATTACCCTGTTGAGAATGCAAAGCTCAAAGCATCTAATGCCTTATGGGCATCTGGGAGGGGGCAGAAATGACCTTCCCAAATGAGCAGTGTAAGATAAAAATGGCCTGGAATTTGATTGTTACCATCCTTTTGTGTTCCCTCAGTTCTGTTAATATTGTAAATGCTGCTGTTCTTGTTGCAAATGTAGCCAAAGATGGGATAGGAGGGAAGGAGGAGCACCTTGTGCTGCCTGATGGGAGGGATGCTGCTCTTGCCTGTGGGAAGAGTTGTGGTCAATACTCACTGCAGGACAAGGCTCTGGAGGCGCCATTATGTGTGGGATATTTAGGAAAGGTACCTTCTTGTGGGGAGTAGACAGGGACTAAGAATCAACATCTAGCAGATGGTCTTCCATGGGCTTCTTTCATTCCAGAGGGATTACCTTGGCTCTGCCTTCATTGTAACCCTGTGGCTGCATATCCTTACCTCTCATTACTTTCCTTCCTTTTGAGTGATAAAAACCTACCACTTATTGAGGTCCAGAGTAGTAGAGGAACTTGCTGAAGACCACATAGCTAGTTGTGGGGAGCTGGTAATCAAAATGAGCTCTGCCTGATTTCTAAGACCCCTTGCATTATTATTTTTTTCTAATTTTTAAAGACGTTAAGTCCATTTTTAAAAACATCTTTATTGAGATACAAGTTCTTAGACCATAAAATTCACCCATTTAAAGTATGCAGTTGATGGCTTTTAGTATATTCACAGATTTGTGCAGTCATTGCTACAATCTAAGTTTAAAATATTTTCGTCATCCCCCCAAAGAAACCCTAAGTTCAATAGTTACCAAGCCCTGGAAAACAGTTAATTGACTTTCTATAGATTTGCCTATTCTGGACTTCCGTATAAATGGAATCATGCAAAATATGATTTTTAGCTTCTTCCACTTAGCAAAATGTTTTCATGGTTCATACAAGTTGTAGCAATATCAGTACTTTATTTTTTTTACTGCCAAATAATGCTCTGTATTTTGAACGTATCTCATTTTGTTTAAATATTCATCAGTTGATGGACATTTGGATGACTTCCACTTTTGGGCTATTATAAATAATGCTGCTATAAATATTTTTGTACAAGTTTTTCTGCAAGATGTATGTTTTCATATCTAGATAGATAGATAGGTAAGAAGAAAAAAAGACATACTGGGTCATATGGTAACTATGTTTAACGTTTTGAAGAACTGCCATACTAATTTTTAGAGTGATTGTACTGTTTTACTTTCTAACCAGCAATGCATGAGGGCTCCAGTTTCTCCACATCCTCACCAACACTTATTGTTATCTTTTTTATTTTATCTGTCCTAGTTGTATGAAGCGGTTTTCATTGTGGTTTTCATGATCATATCCCTAAGTACTAATACTGTTAACTATCTTTTCATGTACTCACTGGCCATTTGTATGTCTTTTTTGGGAAGATGTCTCTTTGCCCTTTTTAAAAATTGGATAATTATCTTTTTATTATTGTTTATTTTTTGCTGAGTTATTTACATAATCTAGACATAGTCCCTTGTCAAATAATATGATTTATAAATATTTTCTGTCATTCTGTGGGTTTTTTACAATTTTATTGATGATATAATTTAAAGCACAGAGTTTTATGATGTAGTTTAATTTATATATCTTTCCTTTGCCCACTCATGCTTTTGTGCCATAACTAAGACACTATTGCCTAATTCAGTGTCGTAGAGATATACTCCCAGTTTTCTTCTAAGAGTTATATAGTGTTATCTGTTAGATTTAGGTCTATGATACATTTTGAGTTAGTTTTTGTGTTGGAAGTAAATAAGGTATTCAAGAAAATGTTTTTGCATGTGGATATTCAGTTGTCCCAGCACGTCTTTTGTTAAATTTGTTTATATTTTATTTTTTTACCTTATTACAGATGTCATTGCTTTCTTAATGGATCTTGGATTGTTTATTGCTAGCATATAGAAATATAATTGATTTTTATATATTGATTTTTGTATCCTACAATTTTGATGAACTTATTTATTAATTCTAATAGCTTTTAGTGGATTCCTTAGGATTTTCTATTTAAAAGATCATCTAGTCTGCAAATATAGTTTTACTTTTTCCTTTTCTAATCTGGATGCATTTTATTTTACTTTATTTTTTGTCTAATTGCTTTCACTAGAATCTCTTGTACGTTGAAAAGAAGTGATAAGAATGGACCTTCTTGTCTTATTCTTGATCTTAGGAGGAATAAAATGTCTTTCACCATTAAGTATGATGTTCACTATGACACACTACCTTTTAACTCTCTTTATGAGGCTTCCCCGAGAACGATTCACTTCTCATCCACATAATGCTGATCTGAAATGATACCTTCTAACTGTAATGGGGTGATAACTACAGGTCCACATTGGGGAGGAGTGACAGAAATAAGGCCCAAAGGGTGGCTGGCTCATGGTGCTTTCACCAGACAGCTAAGTCCTTCTGCCTCAGTCTTCACATGGGGAGATTGGACGATAGCCTCTGTAATTTTCTTTGCTGATATCAGAGGTGATGTTGGTTACAAGCCCGTAACTTTGGAGGATAGACTGTCTCCTTATCTTAGATGGTGGTGATTTGGCTATTCTTTTATCTATTTTTATAATTTTAAGGGTATGGATATAGTGAAAATGGCAATAACGATAAAATTACAAGTAATATTTATGGAGTGCTCACTATGTGCAAGGCTTTATAGGTTCTGTTTAATTTAAGTCTCAAAACTTCATTATCTACAACTTATACAGGAGAAAACGGAAGCTTAGAGAAATAAATAACTTGCTTAATGCTAATGTGAACAGAGCCAGAATGTGAGCTGGGGGTCTGACTTAAGAGCATCGCTCTTGACCACTGTGCTCTTTGTTTTTCAAACGTCTTGCCTCAATAGGTCATCAGATGCTTCTAAAAATTGTGGTTGGTTCTTCTTCTTTATGCTACAGGCAGGAAGGACTATGGTATTTTCCAGAAAGGTGGGTATGAGACAAGCTTGCTATCCTACTTTTTCTTTAGTGGTTTCTGTACATTTTAGTGGGTGATGCTCTGTTTCCACTGGGGACGATGGTGAGTAGAATCAGCTCAGTTTACAGCAAGGGGCTCAACAGACAGCAGGGAGAATTCTGGAATATAAACACAGATACATTTTGTGTTTCCAAGGAAGAATATAGAGTTTGGAACTTTTAATAATAGAATAGGCTCATTTTTTTTCTGAATTAGTTTGAATCTTTTCTGGAAGAGTCTGTCCTGGGCATATTGGGAGGTTTTTTCAAGTTTCCCTCAATGGCAAGATTTCTCTGTTCATGTAAGATGATAAAGCTCTAAGTTGAGTATAGGTTTAGGT